CCCGGCTTGCGACACCCGCGCATGACCCTGCCCCGGGCAGGCCTCGGCCCTCTGCCCCCATGGGGGATTTGGAGGGGTTTTAACGTAGGTCGTTGAGTAATTTTTAATTTTTTTTTCCTCGCTCCAACAGTTTTCTCCACTTGGCGATTATTCACGAGGAAAAAGCTCTGAGCCTGGAGGTGATCCAGCAGGCGGCCGGGGACCGTGCTTTCCTGAACTTCCAGAACAACCTCAGCCAGGTACTTCCACCTCCACAGCCCCAACTCTGGATCAGCACCACCACCTCCACAAAAGCCCTTTCGGGAATTCCCCACCAAAAAGTCCTTTTTTACTTTTTTTTTTTTTTAATTAATTCAATCAATTAAATCAAAGCCTACTTAAATCAAAGCCTGTGTTCAGGAAAGTCCCCAGCTGGCTCCAGCCAGTGTTAGTACAAAGCTTCCTCTCCCCCGAGAGTAGCATTTAGTGCTCGCATTTTTCAAATATGATGCAATGGGTTGCATCCCTCTTTACTGGGATGTTAATGATACCCTTCCTATGGATTGACTGTTCAGTATCCAGAGAGCTCTAAGTTCATCACTTTCAGACTAAAGGGCAACTATATAATATATAGGGAAGCATACATTGGGAACTGAGTTTCTGGGATGTGTATTTAATTCGGGGCACAAATCACCAAGGGGTCAAGGGGGCTGTTTGTCCAGATGCTGCTGCCAAGTTTGCAGTGTAACTTACAGGTCTGCATTTTCTCTTTTTGCCTGCAGACGCCTCTTCACCTGGCAGTGATCACCGATCAGCCTGAAACAGCCGAACATCTTCTGAAGGCTGGATGCGACCTGGAAATCAGAGACTTCCGAGGAAACACCCCCCTGCACATTGCCTGTCAGCAAGGCTCCCTCAGGAGCGTTAGCGTCCTCACGCAGTACTGCCAGCCGCACCACCTCCTCGCTGTCCTGCAGGCCACCAACTACAACGGTATGGGCACACTGCTGTGCATCGATGTTGTGTGCTGTACTGAGGGCAGGGTTGATGTCCTGTAGAGCTCAGAGATCTCTGGAGAGGTGGAGAAGGATTGTTATGGTCATTTGAGATTTGAGGAGCCCAAAGCACACAGCAGTGTCTCATTTCTTTAAAATGTCACTGTCTTGTAGGCCGCCTCACTGTTGATTATTGGTTTTTATGGCTTTGAATTTTGCTTTTTTAGTGAGTACTTTTGCAGTGTTCCTTTTTTTTTGGTTACAGTAAGTTGCATTCAGACACTGGAATAAAGCCTCTAAGAAATTTTTCCAAAATCCAGCTCTGTTATTCATACTTACTGAAAGCTGGAAAGCTCTTCTGGAAAACACCCTTTTGCTATGGATTAATTGCAAACTTAGACATTCTCCTGTCCTATCATCTTGACTTTAACTGAATGATAGGGCATTAGGTTAGGCTTACTCAAGTTTTCCCTTCATTTGTGTTTTGCAGGACATACATGTCTCCATTTGGCATCTATTCAAGGATACCTGGCAATTGTCGAATACTTGCTGTCCTTGGGAGCAGATGTAAATGCTCAGGTATGTAATGTATACCGTGAATTTAACTGAACAGGGCTGTATAGTCCTAAGAATCAATAGGTCTCGCACTGTCGCTGTCTCTCCTAACGTGCCAACCTTGTGTTATTCTCACACAGGAGCCATGCAATGGCAGAACAGCACTACATTTGGCTGTCGACCTGCAGAATTCAGAGCTGGTGTCGCTTCTGGTGAAACATGGGGCAGACGTGAACAAAGTGACCTACCAGGGCTATTCCCCCTATCAGCTCACGTGGGGAAGGGACAACTCCAGCATACAGGAACAGCTGAAGCAGCTGACCACGGCTGACCTGCAGATGTTGCCAGAAAGTGAGGATGAGGAGAGCAGTGAATCGGAGCCTGAATTCACAGAGGATGAAGTAAGTAGCTATTTTCACCTTTTCAAGAGAAGGGGAAAATCCTGCCCCTTGTAGGTTTTTTTTGGTTGATGCCACTCTGATTACATGCTCCAGTGACTTCTTACCTATATAACAGAAGGGTATAAATAGCCCATAAAGTAAGGTTACAAAATGGCAGTTGGGGCAAGCATATAAAAAGAATAAATTTAAGACTAAAATGTAAAAAATAACATCAGGGAACAGAGGTTAACTTCAGGCAGCATGGTTCTCAGAACACCATTCTGTTGCTGACAACTGCAGAACCTCGTGAGAAAAAATTCAGGTTAATGGGTGGTTTTGTTCTCCACAGCATTTGTTACTCTAATGTTCTCAATGCTGTTAAATGGCAAATGTAACCATTTAGGTGTAGAAATTTTATACGCTGCTGAATTTGGCATGCAGGATTTGGCAGTTAGCCCAGAGTGGATATGATACGCCCAGTAAGAGTTTTGCATTAACAGCCTTTTGTTGTTTTTTTTTTTTCTTGCAGCTTATATATGATGACTGCCTTATTGGAGGACGACAGCTGACATTTTAAAGCAGAGCTTTCTGTGAAAAGAAGTGACTGTGTACATATGTATAGAAAAAGGACTTTCTTCATTTAAAAAGAAAGTTGCAATGCAGAGGGAGAAAGCAGGAGGGAAATACTACACTGCACAGCAAGGAGCACATACTTGTAACAGGATGGTTCCAGGTTCTGGCCTATGTTTAAATACAGGAGTGGGATGTGTAACATCAGTAGATATCAGTGCATTATGCACTCCACCTGATAAAGAGCCACACAGCCAGTCTTTCCAACCCTACGAAGGTAAAGGACTACACATCCAACCTGCTAGTTACACAGAGCTATCTTGTGGCATTAACTACCACGAGGAACGCATATCCTCTCATGGCAAGGCAGGCTCATACCAACACCCATCTTCTTGGAGACACTGTTAGTTTGTGTGGGGCTGGTGGTGCTCCCTGGCCTTACTGACTGACCTCAGCTGCTCTCGGTGGGGCATCCCAAGTGCAGGAGTCAAATCAAGTGACTGGTGACCTGGCTGTCAAGAGAAAGTAGCAATGATGTTAACTGTGGGCATTGGAAACTCTGTGTTTCACACCATGTGTGTCATAATTGCTACACTTTTTAGCAATTGTATATTGTGTAAATAACTGTACATTTTTTTTGTTTATAATTATTTTGGTACATGTGAGATATGTATTTATTAAAAAAAGATTACTGCACCTCGTCTGTGGAATGGTTCGTTGCCTACCTCATTATCATGAGATCTGTGGGAATCCACCTGGTTTGCTTTTTAAGAAACTTCACACCTAGTAGACCAATAGGGTCACAGGCTTGGGGGTTTTAGGTGGTTCACCTCGGCAGCAGTAAGACAGCTAAGCAGCTCACAGCTCTCAGCCCTGCTGCTGCAGCTAATTTTGGAAGCGGATGTAGGTGTCGTTTCCTGCACCCGTTGTGGCCGGTGTGTCAGGAGGGTGGGTGGGGGGGAGTGGGATTTTCCCTCTGTCACCCAAGCACCAGGCTGCCCAGCCACTGGAGGGGGGTTTTGAAGGCCATCTGTGGCAGCACCCACCCACCTGCCCTCGTACCACCTTTTGTTCCAGCAGCAGTACCCAGCAGCTCTTGCTGGGACTTGCCGAGGGAGGCTGGAGATTTCCAGTGCAGCCCGGTGCCTGCTCGCCCTCCTGTATATCGCTCGGCCCAGCTCCAATTTGAACTCGGACACCTTTGGATTTTCCAACGGGGATTTCCGCAGGAAGAGGGAGCGCACGCCTGGGAACACGTGCTGCTGCCTTCCACCCCTGAAATTCAGGCATGGGGCCTCCTGCCCTCCCTGCTGCCAGAGCTACAGCTCTCCTCATCCAGTTTACAGTGGTGGAGGATGTAGGTTTCAGGAATAACTTCAGTTATTCCTGCATGTTTCTTCCCAGCTTTCAGGCAAGATCACATTGCTCAAACCCTTACCTGCACCTGATCACCTGCTGGCAGCTTGTCACAGTGCAGGAGTGATTTTAGCACAGATTTCAGCCTGTTTGTGTGGCTATGTAAAGGATGGATTGCATGAAGGGTGACTGTGCCCCGTTCATCCTGTGCCATAACCCCCTGGACAGGGTGTCGCAGAGCCACTGACGCAGGACCAATCTCTGCTAAAAGTCCTGGCCAGGGGACTTCTGTGCTGCTGGCACCCAGCCCGGCTCAGGCCGCTGGAGAAGGCCATGGCTCCAGGTAGCAGAGGGACACCCATTCCCTTTTCTGTCCTGCTCCCAAGGGGCTCCTGACACACAACCTGCTCTAAGGAGGGCTCTCTGGTATGAGGAAGAGCTCCACAGCTAGCTGGGTGCTTCCTAATTTGCATTGGAGCCAAAGGCCGTTTTGGAAAGGATTATATAAAATTGTCATCCTGAGTCATTTTTATTTCCTCTCCACTCTCATTGCATGAGCACAGCCCAGGTGTATGCGCTGAAACTTCCTTCTGGCAGCCAGGGCCATGCCTGCATTGCAAACCTGCAGAGTTTTCCGGGTGTGGGGCTGGGTGAGAATCTGCCAATCCTTTCTGTTTTTTTGAGGACTCACCCTGCACTCCAAACAACCACTAAACCTGAGCTGGGGATGGGGCTGAGGGGGTTTATCCAGCCCTGCTGCTACAGTCCTTTCACCAGCAAAGAAATCCAAGTCACTTCAGGCCTTTCTTGACTGAACACAATGTTGCCACAGCTGGAAATAGAGAAGGCCTTTCCTTCAGTTTCCACTTTGCAAACCAGGAGCTGGAAATGCTGTCAATGCCCTGTGGAGGCATTCACCAGCTATAGATATCAGTGTTCTGGAAGTGCCTGGGTATGGCTGGACCTGGTATGCAAATATTTAAATAGATACCATCTGAATGCAAATACCTTTATTTGAAGGCCAGAGGGAGGGAGGAAAATGCAGTTATCAGTAGTACCAGGTTGGCCGAGTGGTTTCGGAGGCAGTGGTACATTCACTGCTGTCCATTACAAGATTTAGACAAACAGTATCTTAGGAAGGTGCTGCTATAATCTTGCCAGAATGCTATAATGACTTAATAAATTAAGCAAGTGCTTTACTGTATAAGGAAGTTTGGCAGCTAAACAAATCATTGCCCAGGTACCGCACGCTGGCTGTGCTACTGTTTGCCTCTGCCAGTCATGCAAAAGTAACCAAGTATCGTACATTGAGGAACTGCAGGTAAAGCAAGTAGGAATGGAGATTAATGTGAGAATATGTGTTTGTTGGCAAAATAAGTTGGGGCATGTTGTGTATTTGTGCATTGCTAACATGGGACTATCCAGTGCAGAGCTTTGCCTGTTCACTTGATGATATAACAAGATCATCCACTGTAGGTGACCTCCCGCACCTCCAGTTTCGAACTCATGCCCTTAACTGCTGCACATCCACCTTGTCTCTGGCTTTTCTACATTATACCTTTAGAAAGATCTGAGAGTGGTTTTGGTGATAATCTGCTTTCATGTTACCTTCTCGGCACTCCGGCAGATAAGTTGCACCATCACATTTATAGAACTCAGAGCAACAACTCTTTATCCAATTATTCTGCCAGCATCACTTTTTCCTGCTATTAGCAGAGTATGCTAGCTCGCTCTTGCTTGTCCTTCTTGCCAGTGCTTCCCTGTGCTGGCCAAGGGTTCAAAATTCTCTCCCAGCACCTTTGCCACCTGCCCTGGGTGGCTCAGCAAGCTTCAAGAGCAGCCATGCTACTGCAGATCAAGGTCCTGTGAAGTTCAGTTCTAGTTTCCTGACTCTGACTCTCTCTCCATTGGCCTCTTTCCTTTCCTCAGCTCCTGCCATGCCTGTGTCCTCCACTCTTACTGCCCTCAGCACCCATACCCACCTTTGCCTGCTCTTTCCTCCCTTCCAGGGTAAGCACCTTGCTGCAGGTCCCCCCTCCCTCTTCTGCAACACCAGCTCACTATGGACTCATCCACCCATCATGACATTGCACAGCATGAGGCTGCATTTTTGTTCAAGCCTTTCCCTGCTGACCATTCTTGTAAATGTCTTTGATAATCCTGCAGGGATATTCCCATACTTCCTTATATTGAGCGCAAAGAGCTGAACTCCGCATTTCCTCCCACACCCTCCACTTCCTCCTCGCACTCCAGCTCCCTGCAAGACTCCCTCGCCCCCACCACAGCCCAGGGGCCACGTTCACCTCCTGCTTATCTGCCTTTCTGTTCACTCAGCATCAGCCCTGGACTTCCCAAGAACATTATGGTGGTGACAGATAAAATGCAGGCTTCCAGGACAGCAGTGGTGGAGAGCAGAGCACATGGCCCGATTTTCCCACAGTAAATTGGGAGCCCTTCTCTTCAATTTACTGCAGCTTTGCAAAGTCTTAAAAGCAAGGGCAAAAGACAACCCTGCAGCTAGGGACATGCACGGGGAGGCTGCATCCTCCCACTGGCTCCAGCGCCAGCCTGACCTTTGCAGTGGTGAGCAAAAACTTTTCACCATCCTCTTCACCTCCTTACTCTGCTGCTTTCAGGTTATGGTGCAGTGTGCTCCTCTCATGCAGCTTGGCCTGTGCAGGCTGTTTGACACAGAGGTGTGGGTGTCTCAGCTCCCTCAGCCCTGGGAGGTGCCTGCCCACCTGCCTGCTGATGGGCTTGGACAGCATGAGGGGCCACGGTCCTATCTTGGGTGCCTTAACTCTTGCTGTCCTCCTCATCCTTCAGCCTTTTGATGTTAGGAAGGGGTTCTCTATTGACTACTTAGCATTTTACACACCAAGAAGAGCTATAGAGACAGACAGGGGCCAACAGACAGATTTACTGACCGCTTTGTCTCCCACCAGCCAGAATGGCCACTGCACCCCATGTTCCCATCTCCAGTAATCACCTGTCACAGCTTTGGCACCTCTAAAGTGTTAATGTTAGGGGAAAAAGGCTCCCTTTAAACACCAACACATTTATCAGGACAACCCCCAGCAACTGGAGGTTTGACTGCCCTCCCTCAGTCAAATCCAGCACTCAAATTTTCCCAGGATCATCTCCTTGTCCAATTTTCCAAACAGGACTTTCCAGTACCTGTCAGAAGAGAGCTGGGGTTTTCCCCACTCGCTCCCTTCTGCAGTTTTACCTCTTCACAGCAGCCACAAGCCGTGGCACCAGGCTCCATCACCTCCCCTGCAGCGGCAAGTGCAGTCTCCTGCCTGCCCACCACCAGCCCCTGAGGCTTCCCTGCTCCAAAGGAACAGGCCTGCATCCCTTTAATTTAAATCCTTTTCCCATTCCCAGTTTTAGCTAATCAAGTTTAATTTTCCTGTGCACCTTCCAAGGGAAGGTCTTCATCCCTCCAGCTGAAAGCAAAATATGAGCAAAGGCGTGCAAAGTGCTGCAAGAAAGAGCCTTAAAACACAAATGTTTTTAACACGCATGCACCCCACAAAGGGCACATGGCTACAATTACAGTGCAACACTTAACTCCATTAATTATTATCCCTGGATTTCAGTAGCTTGGAGGAGGGAGTTTCCCAAGGTCCTACGGAAGATCTCTGTGAGCACTGCTGCTCCACTCCTTGTTTGCACTGGGAGTGCCCCAGAGGTTGAGCGAGATGCAGCAGTCCCCTTGGAAGAGCACTCACCACTGTTAACCAGAGACCATGGTGTTTGCTTATCCAACATGGCAAGATCGGTGTGCTATTTTTCCTCTCTACATGGGAAACACACATGTCTGCATGCATGCTAAGCTGAGGAGGACTGAGAGCTGGTAAGGGTGGCAGCTGGGCCTGTGGAGCACACAGAACGAAACCGCCCTCTTCTTTCAGTTTTTTTCAAGTGGATGGGTTTCCATTCCAGTGTGCGTCAAGGCTGATGTTTCTGGATTTCATCTAAAAACTCAGATCTGACTTCTAGCAGCTTCTGTGAGATGTTTTGCCCCAGCAAACAAACAAACAAACAAACAAGTCCTTCCCCAAGCTGCATGGAGGCTCCTTACCCCCGAGGAGGGGGATTCACACCACCCACTCGCCCCTCAGCACACCTGACCTCCACCTCCTCTCAAACAGCCTATGAAATTTCCCGACCCATAGTAAAACAGCCAACATCGTCTGCCTGTCCATCCACCTCAGACCTTACCATGCTCCTGTCCTTGCAGCCCTGA